GCTGATCTGAGCTGATTCTACAAGTCATGGTGCTTCCAGCTGTATAGTATGATTCGGATGTCGGTTGCTCGCCAGCCCTCGAGGTCGTGCGGCCTGGCCTGTATTGCGGTCCCACAACCACGCATATTCGTTTGCGAGTTTGAGTACTACTATGGAGCTGAGGCTGCTCGTCCGATACCTCCTATACGTCAGATCTTCTACGTCGCACTTGATCCGGACGATGGGATGATGATGTACAAGTGCTTTCTTGAGCTCTGCGGTGCAACAGTATTATTGATTCGTAAGACTTGGCTCGGCCGAGGAGCAACCGCCCAGTCTTCCACTCACACAGCTACTCACACTGAGCGGCCATGCATGAATCGAATGTTCTTGGTCGATCCATCTGCTTCAAGTTGTATTAGCTGTATCGCTTGCCACGGAAGGGACGGATTGTCCAGTACATTCAGAGAGACCGAAGCAGCTCCACTCGCAGCAACCTGGCATCCAACTCAATGATTATATATAACCTGTACGAGATGTCCGACAAGGCGTTTCGTCAGTTCATTCTCCACATTCACAAACGCAACGGAACAACTTGGTCTTCAGACCATACCTTTCAAAATGCCTCGACCACCTATGCAATACGTACGGAACGTCCAATCCGTGGACTGCCTCGACTTTAGTGGAGAGACGCAATACAACGACTGGAGAGACGATCTCGTTCGGGATGGATATGCGGTTGTTCCTGCCATCTCTGCCGACAAGGCGGCCTATTACGTCGAGCGTATGCACGATTGGTTGGAATCGTTGTGAGTGTCGGTCGAAATGTCGTTACAGAGTGACCGGACTGATCTTCTTTTTGCTGCTTCAGCGAGCTGGGTTACGATCGGAACGACCCTTCTACCATTCGAGAGGAATGCCTTCCCATTATCTCTCCCAAAGGCAGTAAGTAGACATCTACCTGGAAAACCGGCGACCTCAAGCTTACTTTACTCTTCTGCATAGTGATCCAGCACTATGGTGTCTGCCACGAGGACACGGTATGGCAGGTGCGACAGGAACCCGGAGTCGTGGGCGCCTTTGAAAAGGTATGTTGCCTTTGTTTTCGATCACTCATTCTCTGACGACTGACTTCTTCCTACCACTTCTAGGTCTACGGTACCGAAGATCTCATCGTATCATTTGACGCCGTCAACATCTCCTTTGCCAAGTAGGTACACTCTCTTGTCTGAAGCTTACAGTTGCTGACCCCTATCTACGTAGCCGAAAAGATCTTTCAGGAGTCGGTCAGCCATGGCCTCATCAGGATCAGGATCCCGACAGGCCCGGTTTCCGATGTTTGCAGGGTCTGGTCAACTTGCTTCCCAACGGTCCCGACGACGGTGGTTTGATCATTGCCAAGGGCGCGCATCTGCTATCGGAAAAATACCACAAAGAGCTGACTCCTCATGAACGACCTTGGACGTGGACCAACGAAATGTACAACGTCACCGACGAGGGTATGAAATGGCTCGAGGACCACAACTGTGAATGGGTCAAGGTCGAGGCCAACCCAGGAGACTTGATCATCTGTAAGTCACATCGATTCATGACGCCATGTGACATCGCTAACAATGGCTCATACAATAGGGGACAGCCGAGCACCACACTATAACGTGCCTCCTACGGGTTCGCAGAACCGAATGTGTGTTTACACTTGCTACGCACCCGTAGCGACCGCCACCCAGGAAGAACTGCTCAAGAAGAAGGAGATCTTTGAAAGTGAGTCGACAATGTCTGCAACTACTGAACATGTCGTCTGACCAAACTTCGTGCATGCATGTGTAGAGCGACAAGGGACCACTCATTGGCCTCAGTCTCTTCAGCTTTTGGGTCTACCTTGTCTTCGAAATGGCGAACCGGACCCGTTGAACCGCCCAGGCCCCATCAATGAACCCCAATTCAGTGAAAAGGGGTGGAAGCTGACAGGCATACCCTACATCTCGAGCGGTCTCACAGCTTGAGAGGTTCTGGTAGATTGAGAACGCATCTGGGCTTTCAAGAATAACTTTCGGGAAGAAAATTTGTTGTTTTGGAGAAATGTCCGACTATGTTGATTGTAACACATGTCGCGCCCTGACTGATTCAGCGCCTTTCAGTATGCAGAGACATGGCAGAGATTTGCTGTTGCATCGCTGAAGTTCGGAACTGGCTGTTGCCGCCTCACGTGGAGTGAACCGTGGAGTGGACATGTCAAATGGGCCAGAAAGGCAGGTGGCGTGGTGCGCCCGGATAACACGCAGTTTCACGGTTTCAGGTTTCAGGTATAGTATTCAGGTAGCCTGAGTATTCGGGCCCGTTTACCGTTTAGCGTTCCGGATTAGTCAAGAAATGAGTTGAACTGGCACGTGGCTCACGTGGGGGATTAGCTGGCTCAACACCGGCTTAGCGAGCCCTCAAACAGCCTCAAACTAATTCATCTGACGGCGATATGCTCCGTTTACCTGGCCTACTTTTGCGCCAGATGAGCCGCTGCACGAGCGCGAAATCTGCATCCGCAAGAAGATATCATAATAAGAAAGGACGGCACAAAGCTACCCTGCAAAAAGTGGTTCAGCATCTGCTGAATCTTTTCTCCGGGACACAACAACTAACCCAATTCTCACGGGCACTCATCAAACAGCTTTTCGGCGTTGAAAGATGAGATTTGTGTGAGATCCCTCTAAGCGAGCTAATTCAGCCAGCTCACCCATTTTTGGGAGAAAGTGAACGAGCCCTTCAACCAAGGCTACGCACGCGCTTTTGCTGAAGCGCGAGGGGCAGACTTAAGCGCGTAAGCCGCTTCAACAACAACATCTCAACAAAACCGGGGAGGATCACCCAGGCAGCAGATCACCCAGGCAGCAAAGCGAGTGCTTCAGTATCTCAAAGGTAGCGCTGAGCTTGGTTTGACCTCTGGCTTGAAGCACACTGGTCAACGCCTTATTGGCTTCGGTGATGGGGACTGTCGTGGGCCCGTAGTTGGTCTTACGTGACATACGTCAGACAGTACCGCCATTGTATGAGAGATCCTAGCACAAGTTATCAAATACTTGTTACGTAAAACGGCACTGTTATATACCTAAGGTGGAAGACGAGAAGTAGCTAATCCTGAGAAAGTCTTGCACTTAAGGTAGCTTTGGAATTGAGAGGTAATCCAAGGGTGAATACAAGATCATATAGAAAACGGAATACAAGAGGGAATGCTCCTATATATAGTTATTCTAGCTACACGACTCTCTCTTGGAACTGTAGTGTTCCGCTTAAGATATTCATGTTGAATCAAAATATCCATCGACACGTCGTTGTTCGTATTCACATTCACATTCAGATTCAATATTTCACAAGTTTATTCAGATTACATTCAGATATGAATAATTTATCCACTTTCTCGTCGAGAAATTGGAACATTCACGTATCTGTGTTCAATCTCATCCATCAAGTTCCGGAAGCCTATATTCATATCTTTATTCACATTCATATATGAATAAACAATCGTGTTTATTCAGTATATTCAGATTCATTCAGAACACTACCCTACACCAGCAATCTCGATAGTCCTTCTTGATATTGGCCTGGCAATTCTCCTTACGTTGTTTCTCGACGTTGTAAAGAGCCAATGTAACGTTGTATCTAGATAGTATAAAAGAAGATAATATACTAACTAAAAACAGTACAAGGTCTGAAGTGGGATCAGTCAGAAAGGATTATGCTTCACGATTATCGATGTCTAATAAGGTAAACGGCTAACTTACTAGATAATATATAGAAAGCTGATATGAGCCAATCTAAAGGTATTATCTGAAGTTGTAGTTAGTACAATCAAGAAGGCGCTTCTTGGAGAGTTAGGGAGGAAAAGCGTGTTTCATAATTCATTGTGGCAAAACTTACTACAAAATAACCTGTCTTATATAGACGTCAGAACTGGGTGGCGAGGCCAACCCTGCGCAAGGGCTCCTAAGGAGACCTTGGCGTACAACCTAATCTTTGTCACTTTGTTCCGGAAATGGCACAAAGTGACAAAGTGACAAAAAATGACAAAATGACAAAGTGACATAGGTTTCTATGTCACTTTGCTATTTTCAGTACAAGTGACAAATCAACAAAAAGTACTAACCAGACCAGTCTCGAACCAATAACTAAAAACCAAACTTCAAGTCAACACTATTACAAAAGGTGGCGAACTATATAAGAACTAATCAAGTTCGAATTAGCACGGCTGACCAACAAGGGTAGAAATGTAAGAGACTTACAGACGTGCGCCTGACGACGTACAGCAATACCTTGCCTACATTTGGTCCCACCAAATGCAAGTGACGAGGCCGTCACTTGAACCGGGGAGGAGGAACTGTAATAGTACCGCCCCTTCCACTTTTTGCTTTTCACCAACTTCCTTACTTTTCACCAACTTATCGACTTTTCGCCAACTACTTCATTTTTCGCCAACAACTCAACGCCGCTACCGTGAACGTTGTGATATTTACTTATCTTACTTAGCTTGCTTATCGTTGTAAAGAAAGGTATAAATACGAGCTCTTCTGACTCGTCTTTATTCCCTTCTATGACTTATGAAAATCACCCTGTGCAAGTCTAACATTTTCGTCTACAACATTGAAAACCGACAAGTCCTTTCAAGTACTTTGATCTTTAGGAATCGCTATCCTTTTGACTTCAAACATAGTACCAGGAAGCCCTAAAACAGTTCAACATTAAATACCAACGCGACATTGATCCCAATTTACATCCGCCTAGTCTATAATTTTCGATTATACTGACTGGCTGTGACACTGCTTTGACAGATGACAGACTCAAGCGCGTCTCAACACTTAGTCACGCTCAAGTTTATTGATTGATCGAGCGGTACTCAAGTCGATATTCAAACGTCGCAACGAACAGGAACGCTTGGTACTCGCGCAAAAACCAATCGTGTAGACTTACTGACGGCCCGTGGGAGGTAGCGACTGGTATAGGGATGATGAACAAGCATCAAACGACAAAAAGTTAACCCACGGTGGGGATCGAACCCACGACCTTAGCCTCGATATCTGTGCCGATTCAACGATACAATAGGAAAGCTACGCACTACCACTGTGCAACGCAGGCAGTTGATATACACTCACACTGTCCTTTCTTCAGAATTTCTTTGTCTATTATCTCCAATTTGTAAGTCAAGACAGCTTCGCTGTCTGACTTTCGTTCGCCTTTCCTAACAGTGAAGAGCGCTCATCAATGGATCCAGTTATCAGCTCAGCCACCTTACTCCCGTTCTCTGCCGCTACGTCCTTTATCAAAGCATAGCGCTCCTTCCATTTCTGGGTAAGCGTAGGATGAAGGTCTTAACGTTTTCGAGCCCGGAAAGCCGCTGGCATTGTTGCACGTAAGTGCTCTCCTTCTGATTGGCGGCACGAAATTCGGTTCGTAGATACTATGAGCCACCTTTGGTTTGCCTGTCGTCTTCGACGTACCGAGACCAGGCGGATAACGTTAATTATCCTGTATCTACAGTACCGCAAGGGACAACCGAACCTCGAACAACGCACGACGACGACGTAGGATGGCGGTGTTGCAGAATCTGGCAGGTGATAGGATCTGGTGACGTTACACAGCTGGGAACGTAAGTTCCAAGTTGGCAGCTCACAGCAAGCTAACCTGCTTCTCCTCGTGCTTGTGAATGTGGAACAAGACGGTTATGATGACGCGGGTCTGCAACTTGCATCTTGATCGTTTGTGAAACTTAGGGTACAAATCCGACAGGACAACTTGTAACCACATTACTACGGAATGTATTGCATTCATTCATTCGCATTTGAGTACGATATCGGACGTTCGAAACCTTCTTCGCGACCGAGTTAGATCAGGCAAGACCACATCGACCGCCAGATTTCGGCTCTGCGACAGGGAAATCTGCCCATCTCTGTGACAGGTAAACCACGGTTAAAGCAAGACTCGACGTAATTTGTCACCGGTGAATGCCTTCAATCGCAGCTATATACGGGTACAGCGCGATGACACCCACGGGCGCTGATCTACTCCTGCCTTACAAGCTTGCTAAAGGTTCCAGCGTTTCGTCCGTCCAGCTACGTTGTTCCTCTAATCTACCTTTATCCCACAATCTTCAATCCATCTTTCGAAATCGGCGAGACCATCATCATCATCCTCGTCGTCTTTGTCTTTTCCGCCGCCGGTTTCTCCCCCGGACCTGCTTGTTTCTGCTTGCATATCATCCTGTCTTGTGTTACTAGTCGAGCCGAACGTGTTATTGCCACTGACTTCTGCGGGCAATTCCAAAGGAGAGCTGTAACGTTTCAGTTCGACCGGATTGACTGCGGATCGTCCACATTCAATGGCCGGAGCAATAGGATGAGCCTTCGATGCGTTCTCTGAGACCGACACAGGCGACCTGTTCAAATACTGATCAAGTTCGTCTAGTGCTGAAATGCCGTCGTACCCGTCCAAGCTGATCGTTTCGATGTCCTGTGCGCCGCGACCCAATTCGCTATCTGTCAATCTTGAAGGCTCTTGCAGCTGCAGCAGCCCATTAGAAATAAAGTCATGCGCCCTGTCGAGAGAAGTCGGAGAAGGAGATTCGTCGGATGTGGTTAAAAACAGTTTCCGGGTTCGGCGTTGCTCTCGGGGAGCTACAGCTTCAACCGTGACACCAAGGGCAGTTTCGAAATCTTTGCTGTCGTTCGTTGGTCTGACATTCCTGTCGAGTTCAAGGTGAGTCCGAGCGCGCTTGACTGGCTGCGGTTTGACAGGTTTCCTTTCGTGATACACATCGGCGTCGGCATGTCTCATTCCCTGTGTACTGTCCCTCTTGCAGCTCGGTTCGATATTGCTGAGATCGAAAGTCGCAGACGCTGATCTCTTGGTACCCTGAGTGGAGTGCGGTACAGTGACGTTGACATCCATCTCCTCCAAGGCTGCATCGAATGATGGATCGTCAAATTCCTTTGAATCGTCTGGTAAATCAACTCGTGGCAAATCCAGTAATAGCGAATCGAAACTGTCTCCCCCAGCCAACATGCGGTTGATCACAACCTTTTCATCTTCGCTTTCCGTGTCACTGTCGCGTAAAAGGATCGCTGAAGGGTGCTGAGAATCGAACTCTTTTTTCCCCTTGATGCTCTTGGTCGAAGCATTTCCAGCTGCAGATTTTGTCCGAGGCGGCTTCCCCGTTCCAGAAGCGTTTCGTTTGAGTTTCTTGGGTTTGGTCTTTGAGCCTTCCTTGCAACAAGCATGCTTGCATTTACCTTTTTGGCTGCAGGCGTGGGAGCACGGCCAGTTGCCGTTCGGCAAGCGAGGAGGCTCCACGATCTCCATCTCCAACTCTTCGAATTCATCCACCGTGGCAATCTCAACGGAAGCATCGGCTTTGAGCTTCTTCGTTGGCACGTCAAGCCTTTCTTCGCATACTACTTCCTCCAGTTTAACCTGTTCCGAGCCATTCGTCACTGGTGGGCATAGAACGCCGTCCGGAACGTCAGGTTTGTAGTCGACCTGAGTGCTGCAGCCTGAGGCTTGGTCCAAGCCGACAATAACTTGAAACCTCTGATTCGCATACTGAATTCGCGCCATCAAGGTCATGCTGAGGTCTTCGATAGACAGCGTTCTAGCATTCGCCTTTCGATACGCGATATAGGTACCGTCACTCAGTAGCGCAAGTACCGATATGCTTCTCGACTGGGCCTGTTTCTTACTAGATGGACCCGCTATTGGACCATCAGCAGTAATCTCCAACCGAAACTCAATATCGACTGGAGCCTTTGCATTGTCGGGTACCTTTGTCACCTGGGTTACGGTGACAGCGAAGCTAGGAAAGGTTTTCGCTGCTGTGACAATCTTGTTACCGAAGCCTGTTTGCCTGTTGAGTAGCATTTCGATGTGACGCGGATCTGTTTTTGCAAGTCGGGCAAACGTTGTAAAGCCCTTGGCGCCTAGGACAGCGATTGACTTTGAACCGATGCTATCAATCTGACGGAAGATGACAGCCGAATTTGGCCAAGCTTTGCCGCTGATGATCCGATTCAATGCAAGAGCGTTCTTCAGCGTTTCGCCATCTTCCTTCTGCAATGCAACTGTCGCAATCGCTTTGCAGATTCGTGGCGCTACGCGGAATACGTTGTAGGAATCCAAAGTCGGACCACTTGCGCCTTGCTTGAGTTGTTCCTTGTAAGGTTCCCAGTCAACGTTTCCCAGTGTCATCTGTATCAGAATGAAAACCTTGTGTGCAGACGTCGACGGCGAGACGCCATTAGGCATCGGAAATCGCATATCGGGATCTTTGGCGAGGGATTTGTAGAAGATTTTCTCACCGTTGCGAAGCTTCATGTCTGCAAATTCGTGCGAATTCGATAATGTGTGGAAAAGACTTTCCAGGCTAGCTTTGGCGGGGGTATCAAGGATACTGGACATGGTCTCAAAGCTAAGGCAATTGGCAGACATCGCTTCTCCATATACGGTTGCTGAGATGTTGCGGACTTCTAGTGGTTCGGGTGTGTCGGTGGTCTCTTGCATCTGGATCATTTCGTGGCGCTGTAACTTCTCCACTGCATTGGCCACCAGCATGTCCAGAGTTTCTTGCCATCGAGAAGTTGATGTACCGGTCGAACCCAAGATGCCAGAGTAGTGTCTCGGATTCTGTTGGATGCGCACATACAGAAACGAGTTCCTGATCCATTCTTGTCCTTCTTCCAGACACGTAATCGTCCGGAGTCCAATCTCGGTGTTGATGAGTTCTGTCAGATGTTCGTGTAGGCAGCTTTCTATAGTCGTACGGGAGTTCACCAAGTCTCGATACCGAGCTTCGTTGTTTTCGCTGCATAGGATTATCGCAATTCCTTCGGTATCGTACTGTGGCCTTCCAGCTCTCCCGATCATTTGCTGAACGTCAAGGTCTGAAAGTTCAACCATGCCGGACCCTGTCCACTGATATGTCCCAGCCAGTATAACCGTATGAGCCGGAAGATTGACTCCGACCGCCAAGGTCGATGTTGCAACGATTGTCATGATAACGCCAGATCTGAAAGCCGTTTCCACCTTCCGTCGATCATCTAGACTCAAGCCTCCGTGATGAAAAGCAATGCCAAATGCCGAAAGTTCCTCTAGTTGCTTGTTTTCGAATGACATCTTCGACCGATTGTGAACACTCCATGGTAATCTTCGCCCGGAAGCCTTTGCCGTTTGGTAAGCTTTGACAAGGGCGCTAGCTGCCTTACCGCAAAGATTTCTTGTGGCGGCAAAGATCAATACAGGTTTGCCTTTCGAATAGTCGCAGACGATCGGAAACAGTTCTTGTATCATCCGGTTGATTACCGGGAATGGGTTGTCGCCTCTGAATGGAAAGCCTTTGACAATTCTAGTGAGCTTGGTTGGACGAAAATCTTCCCCAAACTGCGAACAATGAAGTCAATAAGGGTATTTGGCGGCTGCCCACACGAATAGAGGGACATTCACACTCACCTTGAAGACTTTTGCCATAGGTAACTGTAAAGCAGCATTGGAGTCGACTGCTACACCTGGGTTTAAACCACCGGCCTCAAAGACACCACTTGAATTGGGCATGGTCGGCCGAAGCCATCGTGCGACGTCCTCTACATTCGGAATCTATGAAGAAGTGAATATGAGCTGGAGTATTCTTTGCTGCTTGACTACTTCTCAACTTACTGTTGCCGATAAAGCCACGACTCTAACAGGCACATCCCTTGCCGATACCTTCATTCGAGCGACGACGGTTTCGAGTATAGCGCCACGTTCCTCATTCAGTATGTGCACCTGTATGGATGGGAACAGAAACTTTCATTCAGCTTAAAGGCATGGAAGAACGCGGAGATTACACAGGTACCTCGTCCAGCATCATCAAAGCTAGTCGCTCGAGAATCTTTTGTTTCTGTGACATTCGACGAGTGACCGCATCCCATTTCTCAGGCTATAAGGGCAAGAGTCAGTCATTTGATTCAAGGCGATACACCGAAGAGGCTTACCGTTGTTATGATTACGTCCGCATTCTTTGTCTCATGCAGAAATCCCTTGTCTGAAGCAGTGTCTCCTGTGAACTCAACAATCTTTAAACCGATTTTTCCTAGCTTTGCCTTCCACTCATC